TAAGACACTTATGAATACATTTTCCCAGTCAAAACACTGAGTGCTGCAATAAAAACTATTTTTCGAATTCAAAGCTGCTAAAACGAACATTCCGATGCTGCACCGCTCATGTCACGTACGTAAAAACACATATGAGAAGCAGCTGGATTATCGGATATTGTCGAATTATAACAGCAATCAAGCTCGTTATTCACCAATTGCATCTAAAAATTCAAAAAACTGCATGTGAAATTCATGAAAACCATAGAAGACATTGAAAAAATTCATAAAAACTATGGGGAAGTTCGAAGGAAGTAAAAGGCAAGATGTCAGATTCTAATAAACACACGTTCTTCAACCTATTATTAACCTAGTATCAAGATCTTAGAACGGATAACAACGATCTCATATCCACAAAGCCGAGATGGAAGAGAGTTAGAGGGCGGGCTGGACGAGTCGGATAAAAATCAAACGTTGCCTGATGGGATTTTCATATAAAATAATGAGGGAACGAGGAATTTGAACAGCAATAACAGCATACTAATTATCATAAGTGACTCTCCAGTTTTACGTTAAAAAAAATCATCGATTTCTAATAATTGACAAAAAATTACCTCATTTTGTTTCCCTCATTTACCTCACTTTCAGTAACTGACAAAAAGATACCCTAGAAATTACCTCACTGGCAGCATTTTGCATGATTACGTCACTGGGCACGCAATAACCCGGATTCGTGAGTTTCAAATTTTTCAAGCAATATCGCCAATCGTTTGTGTTACTAATATTACAGCCATTGATTTCATGCACAACACTGCCTTTTTGCAAACCAACCGGCCCAAATAATGCCGAATCTTTGTTGATATCTAAACAACATGGTAATCATTTAACTATTCCAATGAAAAAAATCACACAAATATCCGTAAAAACAAAGGGGCTAAACCTCCCGAAATATGCTTTGACCATAACTACAATTCAAAATTTACCTTACTTTTGTGCTGTGGTTATGGTTATGGTGCTAGTGTTATGGCTGTGGCAGTTCAATTTTACTCAAAATAAATAGTCAACCCTTATCCAACGATGCGTCGCCCTTCTCCCATCCCCTCTCCTCCTCCTGAGGGTCCACCCTGGATCCGCCTATGCCGGTAATGTCCTTCATTCAGTTCAATTTGGCTTTTTCGTCTTCTTCCTTCCCCCTCCCCCATCTCACCTTTTGCATCCCGCACTTAATACTACTATTCCGGAAAGAAACCTCTTATACTTACCTTCAACAAAAACGCCTTCGTTGGACTTGTACAGT